CACACACACACACACACACACACACACACACACACACACACACATACAAAAAAAAAGGTTAAAAAATCATCGCCACTGTGACAATTTGTTCAGCAGAATCAACAGATTAGTCAGTATCATGGACAGCTTTCTCACCAGAATCAGCAGTTGCCTCATCAAGAGCAGGTCTCTTAGGAGCAGCAACACCTCTCTCAGCAGCGGCAGCAGCTGCAGCAGTTCCCCAACAACAACTGCATCTTACGGAGCAGAACCAGCGTCTCTTTCCCCAGCAACAGCAACAACATCAACAGGAACTGACGCTGCAGTACCCAATGCGGCAGCTCCACACAGATCTCTCCTGCAATCATAGCCATCAGATGGGTGTGCAACAATCATCTCTGGTCTTCTTTCTTCCCAAGAAACCGTTTGAAGTCAAAATCAAGCAAGTGTGAACATACGGACAACTCTCATTGTGAATTTCGATAGGCATCCATGTGACGTTAAGGGAGCTTTCAAAATGGGTGTGGAGTTCACCACAAAAGAGTCAAGAGGAGAAATTTTTGTTTTTAATTCAAGCGCCTCGAATGACATTTATTCACTGACAAAATCACAACCATGAGTTTGAGAGTCTAAACATTGAGATACATATGAATCAATAGACGAATTCTTTCATGATCTTGAAAAAAAAAACCTCTTGAACAACTCTTCATGAAATTTTCATTGGTCTCACACCCTCAATGCGATTCATGCTATAGTGACCCTACTAACTACAACATGTGGTACTGACACTAAGGCCATGGCAAACCGAGACAAAGAAAAAAATCACCCATGTGGCTGAATGGTACACACATGAACTGTCCATGTACGGACCTAAGTTCGAATTCAGATGGAATCAGATGAGAGAAATAACTCAGAAATAACCTGAGGCCATATTCCAAGACCGTCGACCTTTTTTGAAAATAAAAAATTATGCCATTTTTTTATTTTTCTGTTTCCGAGAGTGGTGTTGAAATGAAGCAAGTACTCGTCAAGTTCCACCTCGCATACATCAATGAACTTTCACATGAGAGTTCACACGTAAGAAGCGAAACCGAGATACAATCAACACATGAAGATGTCGTCTCCAAAATTATTATCAATATACAAGAATGTGTCTCCAGCGGCTCTGCCACGCATACACACACACACACACAATGGGTCTCATCCAGATAACGACTATCGCTTCTCTCTTCTCTCTCTCTCTTCTCTCTCTCTCTCTCTCTCTCTCTCTCTCTCTCTCTCTCTCTCTCTCTCTCTCTCTC